TACTTTCGGTTCAACTATTTTCACATATAATGTTTACTTTCGTTTCATTATATGAAACCCATTATTATTAATGAGAACTTATTTTGTTTATATCATATTTAATATAAAGGACATTAAAAGTTATTTTATTCTCAATGAATAAATGTTTTTTTGTATTTTTTATGATTAACTTTATAAATATTTGTTTTTATTGTCATTATTATTGTAATAAATGTTATTTTTTAAAAATATTCATTTTTAAAATTTATTATAATAAAATACTTTATTAAATTGGCTTCAATTCAAGTTTTCTTAAATAATTTAGTTCAAAAACATTTGTTTATATTTATTCAAAACAATTATTCATGAAAAGTATAGTTATTACAAATTTATTTTTTAATCAATTTTGTTTAACATAATCACTGCTTCTTACTAATAGTCATTATAATATAATTTATAATGAATATTATTTTATACTATAGATATAGAATTATTTTTCTATTATAATAAATATGTATATTTTTGTACATACGGTAATGTCAAAATAATGCTATTTTTAATTACTAAATTGCATTTTATCAACTGATATATTTAATGCAACTTTTAAATAACATTTAAAAAATAACATTATTATCTAATTTAATGATATTAACATAAATTACTGTATATAATATATAATAATCAGTTTGCTCATATTTAATCACTTAACATTATAAATATACGTAAACTATGTTTAGATGATAATTTTGTGTTTTTAATTTTAACTATCAATATTATAACTGTAAAACAAACTACTCATATAATTACTAATAAAATGAAATACAAATGTTGTATACAAATAATGTGATGGACTATGAGTTTTTAATATTGCAATCAATGCAATGACACAAAAATAAATTAGTTTAGTTTGCTTTGATGTGTTTGCTTCCCACTCTGTTTTAAGCATTTTCAGCTCTAAATTTTATAACCTCTCTCTCTCTCTCTCTCTCTCTCTCTCTCTCTCTCTCTCTCTCTCTCTCTCTCTCTCTCTCTCTCTCTCTCTTTCTTTCTTTCTTTCTTTCAGATTGTGTGTAATATATAGTTAATATAAAACATTATAATATACTACTGTATACTATGTATGTATAGAAAAGTTATTATAAGTACATATAATCCAAATAAATGTTTAAGATTTGTGTGTATCGGAAATGTCCATTCATTTCCTTACCATAAATAGCAACGACTACTATGTGTCACAACTTAAATGATTTAATGCAAAACTGTCTATGAATAGTAACATTTGGTGATTAAATTAAATTATATATAAGTATATATATGTTTGAAAATTTACATTTCACATATTAATCAAATTTTTAATTTAAATAGTTAACGAGAATGATTCATTATATATATATATATATATATATATATATATATATATATATATATATATATATATATATATATATATATATATAGAGTATTATATACCATAAATATATCTTCGTTAAGCAAGGTTTTGGATTTTAGGGTGTATAGGGAGAGTCAAATGACAAAAATCTTGGGGGTATAGTATGTGGTGTAAACTTTTGTTTCATATTTAAAGAACAAAAATCCGAATTCAAGAGAGGATCAAAAAATAATTTTATTTAAAGTTTCAATTTAAGCGATTATAAAATTGAAAATATTTTTTTTTATTTTTAACAAACATTTTAAAAAACATTAATAAAAACATTATCATATACAGTATATATATATTATTTTACGAACTTTATTTATCTTAAAATTCTATTTAAATTTTAATATGATTACTGTGTTTTCAACAAATAATTAATTTTTAATCTTTTAATTGAATATTTTAATTTAAATAATGCTAGGTTTAGATTAACTTAAGGTGATTTTAATTATTAAAATAATTTTTACTAAATTCTACTCAAACTTCATTCATATAAGGTATAAAAACATAATAACATTTAATTAAATATCGATTTAAATAATAATTTTTATAAACTTAAAAAATAATTAGAAAGGGATTATTTCTCCGCTTTTTTGAGCCAAAATTTTTTCAATTTGGTCAAAAAGTCTGGGCTTAAAATCTTAAAATCAATCTTACTTTTTTATCACCTCCTACCACCCCCCCCCCCTTAGATTAACCCTGATATATATAATAAAATGTAAAGTAATTTTTGCTGATTTTTATTTATATTAATTAAATTATACATTTTTTCAATTATTGATTTTCTTTAGTTCAGTAATATTGCAATGTTTAGTACCGGTGATCATCAAAATATAGTGGAGAAGCAATTTCACTATTTTCTAGTCTCTGAATGTGTTGTCGAGTGTTTGCTGGACTCATGTGTTGTGATAATAATGATTAGTCAAATAGAAAGTATAAAATACCATATAATAGGCTATTCTGTAAATTATATGCTATAAAATCAATATTTCTTTTTAGGCAACATCTCAATCATGAATTGCCAATAATACCCAAAGTCTTACTTAATCTAATGCCAAATGAATCGTAAATAAAAAAAGATTTATTTTTTATAAGAATTGGACCTAAAGATGGACATCACAGACACCACACATACAGTAATCATATGATATATTTTTGTGAAAAATTGTAGTAAAATTCAGAGATACTGTAAAATAATCCAATGGTGTTGTATTGATATGTGTTGTATTATATCATACAAGTTGTACGACTAGTAGGCTAAACATCAATCACTTTATTTCTCTCTTTTAGCTAATGTTTAGGCCATAAAACTTACTTAACTAAAACCCTTTTATTGACTCCCATATTGACTATAAATATAAATAATTTAAAGTAAAATTTCTAGCATGTGCTGTACAAATTTTTTTCAATAAAAACAAAAAATAAACCATAAATTTATTTGTAAGTTTTATCAAATTTAAGTTAAAACTAATTGTATTATATTAAAGTTTCTAAAAAAATCTTGATTAAGACATAAATTTTATTTGATTTAAAAGATAGATAAATACTAATAAAAGAAAATTGTATAATTATAAGAAGCTTTTTATGCACAATAAACTCAAAATTTATATTTCATTTTTTAAATACTAATTTTTTATTTTTAGTATAACATGTCTAACATTTTTGTCTTCAATTTGCTTTATTTTTTTGCCGAAAGCAGTATTTTATGCGTGAAATGAATTTACTTGACTTTCAATTAATATTATCTTAGATAAGGATATTGTTATAGTATTAGTAGTGATATTCAAATTGAAGTCACTTTTGAATCTTTAATTTACAATAAAAACCTTAATTCTTCTCTTAATAAGCCTAAAGACATTTGACTTAGTCATCAATAGTTTGTTATATTTTATTATATTTTTTTTTGTAAACACTTCAATAAAATACAGTAGTTTTTATATATCATACAATAAAATAGAAATAATAATAAATATTAAAAAAAACTTAAAATAGAAACTAAGCGTATTATCCTAATAACTTTAAGACATTTGTTTTGTCTGTTTGTTTGTTTGTTTGTTTGTTTGTTTGTATGTGTGCACACTTCCTCAACAACCATTTTTTAATTCAAAGCTAAAAATATATTGTTATATTTTCAATTTTAATTTAAAGCAATATTATTTCTATGGGAAATTTTAAATGATTATTGAGCTCAGGTAGGTTTTAGGGACAGGTAGGCTGGTGTCGTGTAATTACACTTTGCTATATTATATGAGTTACAGGGCACCGGGAGGTAAGCTACCTGTGCTAAATTTTTGCAAAATTTTCTCAAATGCAAAAATTTTCAATTTGTGTTAAAATTTTCAATTTTAATTTAAAGCAATGTTATTTCTATGGGAAATTTTAAATGATTATTGAGCTCAGGTAGGTTTTAGGGACAGGTAGGCTGGTGTCGTCTAATTACACTTTGCTATATTATATGAGTTACAGGGCACCGGGAGGTAAGCTACCTGTGCTAAATTTTTGCAAAATTTTCTCAAATGCAAAAATTTTCAATTTGTGTTAAAATTTTCAATTTTAATTTAAAGCAATGTTATTTCTATGGGAAATTTTAAATGATTATTGAGCTCAGGTAGGTTTTAGGGACAGGTAGGCTGGTGTGTCGTGTAATTACACTTTGCTATATTGTGTGAGTTTATGGCACATGTTAGCTACATGTGTTAAATTTCAGTAAATTTTTTTCAAATGCAAATTTTTTTTCGCAAAAATTAAATTTTCAATTTTTATTAAAATTATTTAAATATATATAAAAACTAAAATTTCTCAAAAGTTTAGTCGAATTAATGTGTATTGGTTCAGTAGTTTTGTTACATTAGGTTATGTAGTAGTTGTATAAACAAATTAAGTCTCATTCAAATTACTTATAGTAAATATTTTTAAATTAGTAAAAGAATTGCACGGCTATACATGTTGCTCGGGACAAACTAGTTAATTTTAATAATTTAGTTTTTTCACTATTTTTTCATAAATACGTTTAAAATAGTCATTTAATAAGAAAAAATTATTTTATATTCAATATAAATATTTAAAAAATTAAATACATATTAATCTACCGTAAAAAATGTGTTTCCCCATATGGAATTCAAAAAAAAATAAAAATAACATTTTCATACGGTAAAAATTTACCACCCCTGGTAATAATTAAACAGTAAATTATTATACAAAGTAAAAAACTATATTTTTGCATATTATGGTACAAAACTCGCATTATTCCCCATGACTTAGACATTTCCATTTGGGAGAAAAACATGATTTTACGGTAAATGTATATTTTGTTAAATAAACTAAAAGTTTTTATTTTAGTAAATATAATATTCTTATTAATAATATTAATACAAAAATATATTAAGAATATCCATAAATTACGTCAATTTATTTAGTTTCCATTGAATATAATATTAATTAAATTGTAATTAAAAGTAATTGACGTAATTGTGTGTAATTAGAGGCCAATCACTGAAAATAGTAATCAAATGTAAACAAAGTGTCACTTATTTGTTGTCCGATTAATAAGTAATTGTTATTATCATTGATAAAGACATGAGAGATGATGGATGTGGAGGACAGTCACCTGAATTTGGTCATTGATATGATCAACACTATTGTCATCACAAGCTGTCAACCACTCAAGCATTTGTCTCAACACTTTAATCCCTCAGAATTGGTCTACAGATTGTGTCAATTGATAATAATTTACGAGAAGAATATTGGAAGTGATTCGGCAATCGATAGTCTTCTGCAAACTGATACAAAATCTGCAATATTTAGTCAAACTATGTGTTCAATCGTCAAGTATTGGCTTCTGGAGTACTATAAGACTGATTTTGTAATCATCAATGGTTTGAATGTAAACAATGGATGTGAAGATCAAATGATTTTGACAACACTTATGGTTTTGAGAGTCTTATATCGTATGAGACATTTGATGGATCAAAGGATAAGACAGATATTAACCAACGGATGGAAAGATTTGCACGACTTTGACAAACAATTGGATGATATGTTTCAACAAAATTCACTTAAATTTACGACACTTTTGGTCAAACAATCAAATAATTATATTTTAAGAGTTAATTCTTATGTCAAACAAATTAATGAATTGAACCAAAAGAATAAGGATTTAATGGATCAGTTAAGGATAGCTGAGGAAAAAATTGCAAATCAAAACTATTTTAATGGTCTGTCACTCATGAGGATTGCGACAACCTTTGCTAATAATATCACTTATAATGATAACTCTATGACACAAAAACCTAAAAGAAAGACATCACCGAAACGAACCATAAAATCTAATAATGAATCCGCTATCAGAAAAAATACAGTTATGACTGCCAGCACTCATAAGACTAATAATGCTGTAAATGGTATTATTTTTCGTAATCTTAGAAAAAGTCAATCACCAAACAAAACGGTTACACCAGTAGACCAATCATCAGTTCCTATAACAAGAAGTTGTTCGGCAAAAATACAGCGCATTATTAATGGTATGTCATCCGTAAAATCAGTCGAAACAACTTTCAGGGAAATTCGGGCCATTTTTAGCGAACCCGACGATTCAGAATTTGAATATTTTGAGGCCAAACAACAAACACAACAAAATACTGAAATGATAACAAACTTTGTAACTTCAAAGAAAAGAACCCATTCCTCAAATCACATGGAAATTAGTTCACAAACATTGAAGAACAATGAAAATAAAGTTTGCAGAACTTTATGGCCGTCGAGAAATCGGGAATATCCCCGCAATAAACGCTATCCATGCAAATGGATGGGATGTAACTATTTGGCTGACAGACCATCAACTCTTGTAAGATAATGCTAACATAAATACAGTATAAACAGAAATATTATTTATTTTGAATAATCAGATAAGACATGAGCGCCGACACACTGGAGAGAAGCCATTTGCTTGTGATTGGCCCGGTTGTGATAAACGCTACAAAATGAGTTCAAATTTAACGCCACATAAATTGACTCACAAAGGTATTAGGCCTTATATCTGTGATCGGCCCGCGTGTGGACTCGCTTTTACTTATCCGCAACATTTAAAGCGCCACCGAATTGCACGACACGGCCTCTTATCGTAAGTCCATTACCGATGTTTTATACAATTTATACAGATATACAATATATAATATACAGGTTTAGGTTATTATTGATTATAATTTAACTTTTATATTACGGTAGTATCTACAACTAACATATTATCAAATTATAAATTAAAAATAATGTCATTAAAAACTGATGCAATTATATATATATTATAAATATTAAAAATTTTATAATACAGTAGATACAATATTGAACCCATTGGTAAAATTAACAGTATTTAATAATAACTGAATTATAACAATTGAAATATTTTTATAGAAATATAAGAATTTTAATATTAGTGATCCTTATAGTGGTTATCATCAGTAAAGTGTTAATTACTTCGATATTTTCATTATTTGATATTATAGTAACTATATTATAGTCTTTAGGTTTAAATGCAATGTTTTGTCATTTCTAACTATACTTAGTTAGCATTGTGTTTGATATTAATTAAATAATTTGTTTCAATCATTTTGTTTTGTATACCACAACCACTCCTTTATCATATCATATAAATACTCGATCTTTTCTATCGTTTGTTTTATAATCATCTGGTGATGTCATTAATATAATACTGTATTAGGGATAATAATAACACTTTGACAATAATTGGTACATTATCTTAAATAAATATCATTATCTTAAATAAAAACTTAAATGATGGCAACTATAATTTATGAAATTATATAATTCAATATATAATTTAATATCATTAAAAATGGGTGCAACTAAATATAAATTACGGTAATTGCATCACTTGCTGACACTAGTGTATACAATTATTTTGTTAAATTATAAAAATTATTGAATGTTAAAAATATTTAAACAATTATAGTATAGTAATATCGCACATATTTATTATAAATTTATTTTGTTTATTACTGTAATGTCATTTCGATTTTTTCATCTTTTGTATGATATTTGAGCTTAAAATATATAAATTGTTAAATATTGATAATTTGAATCATTTATTAACTATATATTGTGATGTTATAAGTCTATAAATTCATTTAATGTTAAGTTATCAAAATTTATCTATCAATTGTTATAAATAATTAAACATTTAAAAATTTACAAAAGTTTAGTATAATATAGATAATTTATTTATAATTGTTATTTAAATATACCGGTATTTTTTATATAAAATTCACATATATATTATATTATTATATACAATCTAATTTATTTATGAATAAATGTTTATTATTTTTACAAATAATAAACATATAGTTTCTAGTAATAATTTATTGAATTTTTTTAATTTGAAAATTAAATTATTACAAAAAAAAACAAATGTTAATAACCAAATTATTATATCAATTTGTCATATATAGTATATTTTTAAAATTTATAATTGACATTTGTATTTTAGCAAATGTTGAGCAATGTATTTATAGTTTATTTGCTTAACATATCGACATCGTTAAGTTATAAATTTACAAAATTGTTTAAATTCAATTGTTTAAAATAAAATTAATATATCAAATAAATATATAATTTGTATATAAGTTTGTTTGCTTCAGTGATTTTTAAAAAATATACTGTAATGTCATCCAAAAATCAAATCAATTGCAATGGTATTCAAGGTATTCCTTTTTGTTCGTGAGATTTCTGATGAAAACAATAAGTGATTCCCTGATCCCATGCCTTCTTCAGTATTGTGTCCACAATATTGCGTTTGTCGGGAGAGTGGAACCAATCGGAGAGATCGCGGTTGCAGTCAGCGTCTGGCGGCGGACTCTTAATCGGTATATCATTCATACAATTTTTACAGTTAAGCTTACGATGCGTATCACTTTTGATCCCTTCCTCTAATCTGAACAACTCTTTGAGTTCGGAAAGAGTGAAATGTCTTTCGACATTCTCTTCATTATCGACAACACAACTGCTCAACGCTTTCTTATGTGTTTGTCTTTGAAATATTTTTTCTTCAATAGTTCCCGTCGATAGTAATCTATAAATAAAACATTGTTTGCGTTGGCCATCGCGCCAAACGCGGGCCATTGCTTGTCCATCATTAGCTGGATTCCAGTCGGGATCGTACATAACGAGGCGATTCGCGCCGATTAGGTTAAGACCACAACCACCAGCTTTACTGCTTAACATGAATATGAATTCAGAACTGTGAGGGTTATTGAAGTTTTCGACTACTTTTCCCCGTTTCTTGATAGACATGGAACCATCTAAACGAACAAAACCATAGCCACGGCTTCTGCAAAGTCTTTCAAAGAGATCTAAAGTTTGTGTATAATTGGAAACTAAAACAACTTTGTCTGTCGTTTGGCTTTTAATGAAAGCTAAGAGTGTGTCCAATACTCGCATCTTTCCAGACAATTGTGGCATAACTTGTTTGCCATTCAATGTTCCGAAATCGGAAGGAAATAAATCTAACAATGAATTCAATTCATTTTTCGGGTTTTTGCACATATCGTACGCTAATTGAGGACTATTACAAAGTTTCTTCAAAAATGTTATCGCAATGAGAGACGCATTTCCTCCACCTTTTGCAGATGAAGTCTGGTTTTGGGACCCATTGACAGCTCGAGTAACAGCTTTTGATTTCAGGAAATATGAGTACAAAGTTTTCTGAAGTGGAGTTAATTCACAGCAAACTATTTGTTCATATTTTACGGGCAAATACTTTGACAATATTGAAGCAGTCCTTCTAATCATACATTTGTTGACAATAGACAACAATTCATCCAACCTTTCTTTAGCAATAGCTATGTCTGCATCTATGGCCACAGCATCTCTTCCTCTAAGTATTGGGTTTTCATACTTTTTCTTAAATTCTTGAGCCGTTCCCAGTATGCCTTCATTGACAAACTGAACTAAACTAAAGTATTCGAGTAAATCATTTTGAATAGGAGTTCCCGATAATAGGATTCGTCTTTTGGCATTAATTTGGTTCAATGCGTGGTATGTTTGGTTGTCCTGATTCTTGAGCCGATGTCCTTCATCACAAATAATGAGTCCAATCTCTCCTGAGTGAAGAACATTTGCGTGCAATCGAAATGTTTCATAGGATATGATAAGTATTGGATTCACACAACGCCTCCCTTTAATTGTATTAATAAATGAATGCAATTTCTGGTCGATCTCAGCCTTTGATCCGCCATCGATGGCCATTGCATTTAGTTTATTGCCCAACCATTTGTTAAACTCATTATACCAGTTCTTGACGAGACTACTCGGCGCCACAATCACTACCTTATCAATGGTTGGCTTACATTCAGGACTTTGTTTCAGAAGTGTGAACACAAGTGAAACGCATTGAAGAGTTTTTCCTAAACCCATTTCGTCGGCCATAATACAGCCATAACTGCCGGGCAATTGTACGCCCGTCACACAGTCCCACATAAATTTAACGCCTTCTCTCTGATGCGGTCGAAGCACATCCGTTAACAGCGGATCCATCACTACGTGAACCAAACGTTCGTTTTGTTTCACTTTCATCATCTCTTCTTTAGTCATCGGCGGCGGAGTGTATAATATTAATGCGTTTTCTGCTTCGGGATCGTGTAGTGGATGTCGACCACCACTCAGACGTACACCAAGTGATCGGTAAGAACCACCTGAAGACAAAATAAATTGATAATTAAGCTAATCATCAGATTTAACAATAATTGCAATCAAAACCTTTATATCCATTGATTGGTATAACAAATGGTTTGCTTAATATCTTTCGGATGTACTCTTCGTGAGCTAACCGTTGGTCGGGTGTGAGTCCAACTGATTTACCGAAAGTGATGTTAATATTATCTCTTTTGGATGGACTCAATGGTTTTGATCGGCCATTGAATGACCGTTTTCTTGCTGTGCGGACATCATTGTCATCACTTTTTCTCTTCTTGAGCTGAGACGGACACAATCTTCTTAACATTTCATCAGTTCTTTGATGACTTGTTTTGTGACAAACAATCAAATCATTGTTCAATCAGTTATGAAATGCAAACAATTGATTGAAAAACATATTTAGTGTTGACTTTAGAGCCAAATAATGCATTCAAATGTGACATTCATTCAAACTATCAATAGATGGCATTCATTGATATTTCATGTGATGTAATGATTACTTAATTTATACATTTTTATTGCTTTATTGATTGATTGCATTAAATTACAAGATATTGATATTATTAATATATTATATAATATTTTGTTATTTTGTTAACTACTTTTATTAATAATTTTATTAAATTTACAAAAACTATATGTTTTTATTAATTAATTAACTAATTTTTAACTTACTATAATGCTTTAAGTTAATGATAAAAACCAAACTAATTTTGAAAGTATTAATTTAGTACTAAACATTATAATATTTATACAGTTTAAAATTTAAATAGTATTTTTGCTTTATCTGATTAATTTTTACATTTTAATTATATAATTTTTTTACTTATTATATAAATTAAATACCAAACTTATAATATAATTACATATAAATAGCATAATTTTATAGTTTATCTTATAAAATATAAATAGAGAATATAATTTTAGCTTTACTAATATTTATGATAAAACATTGTTAATAATCTCATAAAGTAAATGAAAATATTAAAAATCTAAGCACTTATATAAATAGTTTTATAAATAACCAAATTATATAATTTACTGTATGTACAGTCTGTATACTTTCATAAAAAACTTATGATAATTGGTGTATAAATATAAAAATTACAAATAATAACAATTATCAACCCATAACTGTAATAAAAACTTAAACCATTGATTAATTAATATCCGGAACCTATTGGTTGATATGAATATTCTTCAGTAGTGGAGCCTTCTGTGACCTCTGCAGTTGTAGTCGTAGGACTGGTTGTTGTTGGTGTAGTTGGTTTGGCTGTAGTTGTATATTGTTGTTGTTGATACTGAGAAGCGGGCACCGGTACCAGTAAGACAAGCAATGGTTGATAGCCATTACCACTGGTGTATCCCATTAGTGACTGCAGACCACCATTTGAATAGCCGTTGTAAGTGTTGGCCATAGTTGTAGTGCTGGCGACTGTAGTAGTGGTTGTAGTTTTCGGTGCTTTGGTTGTAGTCTTATATAAGTTAGGCATCGATTGGTACTTCATTCGCATTGATTTGAAATTTCGATTACCATTGAAACACACGTTAAGATCAATTAAAAGATAACAAAATATCAATATTACAAACAATTTATTGCAAACCATTTTTTACAAACATTTATCACAATAAACATAAAAATATGAAAATATAAATTTTTTAGTAAACAATTATTATTAGGAGATTGTTTTTATATAACAATTAATATCTAATTATAGATTTATAGTACAGTATATTACTTTGAATGACTTTTCACTTATTTTTGTGTCAAATGAAAATATTACACAAATCTTATTTGACATCAGATGAACCCATTTATGTTGACTAAAAATATTTATATTTTTATTTAATTTTAATTAACTAAATTACTCATCAATTAGTGTGATGTTATAACCTAAGTATTAGTTAAATTCTATAAAAATCTTAATTTAAAAATAATATTTATAAAATAATTTTAATATTTTAACGACTATTAAATACAATACAATGAAAAAATGAAAATAATAAAGAAATACTAAATTACAATAATATAGAGTACAATATACAATGTATTTAAGCAAAATTATTATATAAATTCACAATTAGTTATATGAATTAAACAATATTTTTCGTTGATCTTATAAAACATAAATTTATACTACATTTTCAATTAAATTAATTTATAATTATTTTTTATAAAATATTTTTACAGTAAATATTACAATTTACAATTATATAACAATATTACAAGAATATTACATTTTTGTTTTTATCAAATAATTTTTTTTTGATTTTTCAAAATGATTAGAAAATGATTAAATTATAATATTATTCACAAAAATTAAAACTATAAACATTTAAAAAATTAAAATACTTAATGATTAGAAATTAAGATTACAATAATCAAAAATGTTTAAATTGAAACAAAAATTAAATATAATTTTGTTAAAAATATTAATGTCTTAATAAAAACATATTTATTATTTAAAAAAAAGATTTACTAATGAAAAGTCATTAGTCGTTAAAGTTTTTAAATACAGGAAGTCGTGAATCAAAGATTTAATTAAAATTGAAGCCATCATTGGTTATATCACTTCCAAGACTAGTTTCGGCGCCAAATTGTCTCATCTCTGCTGTTGAAGTGGCAATCGGTGGCAAACTTCGGGTCGATTCAGCAAAACGATTGAGTTGATTGATAATGGCGTTGATGTCTGGTTTAGTGTGTATATAAGCACATCGGGGGCCGAAATCGCACAAACCTTTTGTATGAAATGGTCGACACAATTGGGTCTTATATTTCTTATGCTTATATGTTATTGGCCTCAGGTCTTGATCCGAATGGGCATAAAAACAGCGGTCATTGAACCGACAAACCCCTAACTCCATGAAATTTTTGCAAATTTCTGTCCGATATCGGATCGGATCAAACGTCGGCGCAGATAATATTGATTTGGGAACCGATGACAACAGCTCTGAAAGACTGTAGACTCGGTTCGGAGATAAAAATAGTGACGACGAGTGACCACTTGACGAACTCGACATCGGAGATGACATTATTACTAATTGGACGCTCGGGTTAGGTCTTTGACAATCACTAGATCTGATCTATAAAGAGGACCGTCTGTTGTGACACTTTAGGCGTCAATCAGTCTAACAATGCTTTCAATGCTATAAAACTTAGTCCCCATTGTGTCTAACGTTTTGTTTTAACCCCTAATGTATGCAATATATGACTAATGAGTCTATTGAATGACGAATTGAAGAGTAATAAGTTTTAAGCAATAATGCAATGCTTTATCAAAAGCTTTTAAAACATTTTAATAATAACTAGAGATTGTATTATTCAAAGTTTGTTGTATTATACTATACTAATGTGTGGTATGTACTGTCCAGTCCAGTATGTGGTACAATATACTGTACTATATATATATACAAAAATATATTTCTATATTTATTTATATTTTTTAAAAACCAAGATTATAATATTTATATTGAAATAACACATTATTAAATAAATATTATTAATATTTTAAAAAATTTACATTACATAGAAAAAAACAATATTTTACAATTATTATCAAATAATAAATTGTATAAATATTATATGATACTATACTGTACTGTATTATACAGATTAGTATACAGTACAATACAATACAATTGTAAACTACAGTATATATTATGTCAAACCTGCAAATAATATGTTTTTAGCGCCAATTGCTGATGACATGCTTTTTGATGTAATTTCGTGACTTCCTGTTCCGTCCCGTTACCACTAATTTGGTGACAATTGTCAACAAGAGTTGTATCAATTCAATCGCAATCAAAACAAATTGTATTTCAAACAACATTTAGTGCACTAAACAAATGACAACTGAATTTTTATTACCAAATATTATAAGAATAAAAATTTTATTTAATGTTAACTAAACTTTTAAAAAACTTTATTAAATATTTTTATATTGATTATAATAGTGTTAAATAATTTTTTAAAAATAATTTAAAACAATACAATTGTAACTTATATATTGAACAATACAGTATCTACTGTACAGTATTTTTAATTTTATTGTAATATATTTGTATAAAACTTGATTTGTAAAACTAAAATAAATTACAAATAATTTAGTTATTAAATCTTATTAAATAGTTGTTAGAAATAAAATGGGTATTAAATACAATTATAAGATAATGATTAACTTAGATGTGTAGCGGTGTCTGTGATTTGATATTGATTTGAGGACTGTTACCACTCTTAGACAAGTCTTCCTGTGAGGACAGCGATGATGTCTTGTTCTTCTTATTTCTTCCGGTAATCATTAAAAAAGCGGTAAATATAAAGCCGACAATCAATACGATAAATCCGACCAAAATGATACCAAAAGCTACCGAATTGACAGAACTGGTTGATGGTTGAGGTAACAGGTATTTCATTATAAGACCCATAAATATCCAGAAGAATCCGGTGAATGTCGAGAACAAACCGCAATAGAAGAGCATTTGTCGACTTTCATCCAAATGTGAGATACAAGAAGGGGTTAATAGTAATTGTGTAAAACCAGAGATCATTATTCAATCAATTTTAACCGTATATACAGTATATAGAAAAGCACTGAACTATGGGTTCAGTTGTTAACTCTCTTATGACACGAATATTCTTTGAATGCAATTCTGCAACCGTTTGCTTAACGCATAAATCCAGTGAACTCTCAGTTATTAGACATAAGGCTAATGGACTTCCTATTGATTTGTCTCACAGTTTAATGTACTCTTATTTTTTGTTGTTTTGTTTGTCCTCACAATAAATGTTATGCTTTTTAAATGCTTTTATACAAATCAGTTTCGACTCTTGTTTTGAAACCTTAGCGACAAAATAGTTAATCGAAAGTTTTATATTAAATGTATACAAATATTTTGTAAAAACTATTCTTTAGTTATGTTCACTACTTTTTTTTAATAAATATATTCACACTTTATATATAACTCGTTATTTTTATGCTCATAAAAATCGATATTATTATTTTTTTATAATGTTTAATAATAAAATAATTGTAACAATTATCATTTTATACTGATTCATTATATAAAATATATTGGTAAGTTATATAGTGCTTAAAAATCAAGTACCATAATACAAAATTATTGATATTATTAATAATAATTTAATTTAATAAATATTTATTCAATATTTAAGTCTAAATGAAAATTATTTGATTTAAGAATAGAATAGTTTTGTATGAATTTATCCGACTCTTCGGGTGTCAACTGTTTAACCGCTTTGTAGTAAATATCTGCCACTTTGTTGGCGTTGTATTTCATCTCAAACATCACATAATCGATCCAAAGTGTGGCATCATTTGAGCCAAAATTATTGACAATTTCTTCATGTATGCCATGAATTAAATGATAATTTGGATTTGCGTTTTGTTTTTCAATTTCCAACATTTTTCTATGAAATGATAACAAATTTGGGGGAAATTTTTTGTATGAATGATAATAATGTCGAGTCTTTTCAAGACCATAGACAGAGTTAAGTGCGTCCAATATTTTGGGTTTCATATATTCATTGATTTGTTTTGAAGTTTTTCCTGAACTTAATTTAGATAACTTTTTCGTTATATTCATCACTTCAATTGGTTTTAAATACACAGTCGACCATTTGATATATTGTTCCCAAATATCAAAAACTATTGTAATAGACTCGTCACTGATCTCCTTATAACCAAATTTATGTAAAATCTTTTCAAAGAAGCACTTAATTTCACTCTTGGAATCAATTTTCATGACATAGGGTATACAGAAATGCCAAATATCCATATTATCGGACCATCGCTCACAACCTTTAACTATAATTTGACTAATTTTCATACAATTATCATATTTGTCTTCAGTAGAAAAGTAAAGTTTGATCCACTCTTTAAACATCTGAGTAGACAAACAATTTTGATTCCACGCCCTCTCAATCACATCCAATCCTTTCAATAATATCTCTCTTTTTTTGGTCTCTTCTTTACATTTAGACAACTGTTGTAATCTATATTCTATATAATGTGTCCAAATGTTTTCACTTTTAAATTCATTGATCTTTGTTTCAAATAAACCAATTACTTGTCTTTCAAACTCTTTTTTCTTTAATTGTTCTTCAGCTTCAGTTAAAGTGTCATCCAATTGAATCATTGCATTTCCATCTTCTATAATACGTTTAGCCATCAGATCCCATGTTTTCTCTAATGAAGCAAATCTTAATTTCAAGTCTTCATATATCATATCTTTATGTCGTTCAGTAAGTCTGTGATCAAACTGTGAACAAATGGGAAGAAAGTGTGCGGCGAACTCAAAGTCATCGAAAGTGAGGACAGCATTCTTGTAGACAATACAAGCAATGACTCCGTTATAGACCTCGTCTTTCATATTGTCAACTACTTGTTCTTCATTATCGATCTGTTCTTTACTATTGTTTTCACTAATAGTGGGAACGTTTAGTTCAAGAACTTCACGTCGTTTACGGATTTTTGTGCAAAACATGAGCTCAAGTTTGAAGTATTGATGCCAAAGAAGACGAGAATCACTATTAAATCTAATTCCTCGTTGAAGTAGATTTCTGGCCGTTTCGGGAGAGTTGTTGTCCTCAAACTCAAACTTTGCGGCTCTGATCCAAAGCCAGTCTTTGTTGGAGTGAACGGAAAGCATTCGCGTATAAATAGACGACACTTTAGCTAATGATTTGTTGTTTCGGCAAAAATCAATAAATGTGAGCCACATCTGAACGTCAAACTGGTTCCTGAAGACTACTTTGCGATACAAAGACATGATATGTAATGATATCATGTGTTCAATGTGTGCCGTCTTGTATTTAATGCCACTCTTGTCTCTTCTTAAATGGATTAACTTCATTAACGATTGCTCGTAAGCAATATATTTGAGATAATCCTCTTTAATCTTCGTATTCCTCTGCAGTCGATATTCAAAAGCCTTTCTCTTTTTGATAATGGCTTTGATCTCAATGTCTGTCAAAAGTCCATATCTTTCCAATTGTTCCAATTCACTGATTGTCTTCTCAATGTTATACTCAACCACTTCAGCCATTATCTTATAAATCTAGTTGTCGTCACCAATGGATCACTTGTTAAGACTGGTTATTATCAACAAATAATTTCAATCAATGTTAAGACAACACACCATAACATCAGCACATGTTTTATGCCATACATTGAAACACCAATTGTTGTCATAAATAACGTTAATTTCATTCCAAATATTTATTAAATTAATACTTTTTTTTGTTAATTTCTAATTAATTATGTAATAAATTATGACTTATTTTACAATTAGTTTGTATTATATATGATGTAAATTGATTTTCCAAATAATTATTAATCTTGATATTTATAATTAATAAATGTAGACAATATTTGTAAAATTATCATAATAATAATTATTGTTGATCCATGAAATATAAATAATTGAAATGTATTATTAATCTTATTTTTAATTACATTTAATAAATTTATTTTCTATATAATTGTGTTTAAGATTTTTTTCAAATAATTGAATTAAATTGAATGAGAATTTGAGTTTTTATTACTTTTAATGTAAATAACATTTTGTATGATTTATCAAATCATTTATAACCACATATAGAGTGTTACAGAGTTTGTTATAATAGTAAAGACCTAGTTATTACTAATTTTTTTATAACTACTTAATTAGTTGTTTAAAAAATTTAAATAAAATTATTTTTTTTCAATTGCTATGTTTTTTCTGATAAATAATGATACAAATTGAGGACAAACTTTTCACTCGATTTTTTTGGTGACATTTCAGTTCAAATAAATTTTCAAAAACTCATTTGATTATATATTAGAGGCAAACCTTAAATTTTAAAATAAATAATATTTAGTTTTCCATATAAGTATAATTTTATTAGTTTACATTTAAGATAGATTATGATTTGATATATAAATAGATTCAATGTAAATAAATCGTACGTGTGTAAAAATTTATATCTCTATTTATTTGTGTTAAAAATATAATTTATTTTATTTTTCCATAATATTATTAAATTTATCGCATATATTAATAGATACAGTATTTTATTAGTATATAGCTAAATGTAAATAATTAATACATGTACTGTACATTAATGACTACTAAAATAAAACATTTTAATTAGAATTTTGGAAATTAAGTAATAATCTAATAAAATTGTATTGTTTTATAACTTTATTTTAATAATATAAATAAATTTAATTATAATTATTTTTTTTAACTATTTCAAAGATATTAAATAAATTATATTATAATCATAAGTGAAATACAAGTGAGAAGGAATTATTAATATATTTATTTAACTGGTTTTTCAAATTGGTTTTACTTACATATCAATTGTGATTTTTAGTTACTAACTATTAATATATTAATATAATTTTTTATTCAAAAAATTCATCAATTAAATTTTGAATAATTAATTTTTAAAACATTTGTTAATATAATACAATTTTTATTCACTGTAAGCTCTTGTTTGATTTTAATAATTAAGTGCTAATATTAATTTTGAACTATAATATAAAAATCAATATATTACTGGTAAATTAAAAATAAATTATATTAGTATTATTAAATAAAGTATAACGGTATAACTGTATTAATATTGTAAACATTTAAATGTAATTAATGTAATTTTAAATTATTAATAAATATCAATATTGTACATAATAATTATACTACAATTAATAATTATAAAAAATGTAAATTATTAAAATTATAATGTTTACAATTTACTATTTATTTGAATAAATATTTATATTGTACAAATATAAATATAATAATTAAATTTATTATATATTTAATTGAATACAAATTGTGATATAATATGTTTAGTGTATGAAAAAAACAAATAAAGTAGTATATCCAATATCCTCAACATTTCATTGAATATACTATTTTGAAATCATATAAATTAGATATTCATTTAAAATTTTTTGAAAAATTTCAATTAAAAAATATTTATTTACTTATAATTATTATTTTTCGTTTGGTTGTTAATGAATAAATTACTAATATATATTTATAAATATATTTTCTAATTTTAGTAAATTCTTAATTAGAATAAATTAATAAATTAATAAAATACTAAATTATAAATAATTAATTTAATGATACGTTAAATATTACAAAAATATTTATATCTACCTTAAATATGGATTTTAATTTTCAATTAATTGTATGTGATATACAAACTATTATATTATACTCTAGAATCTATAATATAGATATTTGCATTAAATATAAAAATAGACGAAAATTATCAATAAAAGCTATTAGATTCAAAATTACTGCATAATATAAAAATAAATAAAACAGAAATATAAAAAATAATATTTTTCAAATTATTCTTTTACTTAATTAAAATAAATTTTATTAATGTAAATCGATTTTATAGATATTATAATGTATAATAGTTTTTAATAGATAATACTATACCTGTATTGAATTAGAAATAATAAAAACGATAATAGATATACCACTACGTTTAAGATATTTATTATTTTATAAATTTGTGTTACAAATACATTAATATGTAATTAAGTTTGTTAGTGTTTTAACGATTTATTTAATATTTCAATTTGATATTCATTATAATATTATTAATATTATGGTTATCTAAAAACAAAACTTCAAAACCTTGACCTCAATTAGCATATGATTTGCTCTCTTTTAAATTGCTAATTGCTTTTTTATAAATCAAATGAATGCCAAAAATATATTGTAATAAACATGACATATAATATATGTCTATGATGTGGACATTTATTACTGTAAATACATTAGACTGTATAAAACAGTAATTATAAAAATTTAAATTTGTTTTTTTGTATTTTAAAATTATAACACATTTTAATTTATTTTATTAATTGAAAAAAAGAGTTGTTTTAAGGAAAGGTTGACCACATTATAAGCAACGATAACAAAGAAATGGTGTATTTGTTACACATATTGTCAATTAACCTCAACTTTCACTGCAATATATTCTCATTATTTTACACTTCATTTAACTCATATAATTGACTTTTGTTTAAAAATACAAAATAGTTGTAATTATTTTCATTATTGACTGCAATTTAATAAGATAAAGTAACTATAACTACTAAGAAAATTAATCGCAAAAATGTTATCAATTATAACAATATAATACTTTTGTGAAAAAATAACATACATTACATTTTTATTTAAGTATTATTATTATACATTAAGTTATTAACAAAATTACAGTACATTATAAAAGCATTTCAAACATTATTGATATAAATGTTATAAAAGGATTGTATGTGATATTTGTGATATTTTTTATATAAAAAATTATTTTAAATAGTTATTCAAATCGTAGTTATAAATAATAAATTAAATGACATTTTGATAATAATTAATATAAAATTGATTAATTATTTATTAGACAGTTTGATTAACTATGAGATAAATATAAGCTTAAGTAAAACTGAGATCTAATGACAATTTAATAGTTGTAAAACTAAATATATCAAATAAAAAAAAGTTTTACGCTGTTTAGCAAAATATTTACATAAAACTAATCAAATGACTGCAAAGGAAAAATTTTATTACAAAATATGTGATAAAAACATATGAAAAGATGTTTTTAATTTTTTTAGTCACATAAATATCCTTGACTTTAGCTTTTTATGATTAACACATTGATATAATATATCATACCTGCAGTCTATAATACTGTACTAATGAATATATAAGTTATTTAAATACACATTTGAAACATTTCAATATTACTACAAAAGTGAAAAACCATTAAACAATATTAAACGCGTTGTTATCTTAATAGTTAATGAAGCGTTCATTCAATTAATTCATACATTCATACAATGTATTTATTAACTTACAATCATTTTAACACTATGTTTGACTAATTGACAAATTTTCACAAATGTTTTTTCACAATTTCATAACTATTCAGTTCAGTCAAACTTAACGACTCATTGCTTTAATAAATTGCTTATAAAAAATGAAATTTTTTGAATACAGTGTTATATATTATATAAATTTTTATTTAAATATAGCGCTTAATATCAAAGTTTGCCTCAATTTTAATTCAAAGATGACGTTAGTGTGATATTTGAAGTATTATTAGCATATATTACAACATTTAAAATAAATAATTATTTTAAAATCTCCTAAACATAGCTAAACGATTGCATTTTAATCATAATGGGGGCAAACATTTTAGTAATCCCTGTGAGACATAATTTGTTAATTATTTGATTAATTTTTCAATACAGCTGTCAAACAAATGTTTTGCGAAAATAAATAATGTAAATAATATTAGTTTTATAATTTATTTATAATTGATTATTATTTCAAAATATAATATAAATTATAATATTTTATAGATTATGTAATTTTAAATATAATTTTAATAATTATTAATTAATAATTTTATTGTAAATATAATCTATTAATAGTTTATTAATTTAATAATATTTGTCTATTTTTTAGTCATAAGTCGTTATTTAGTGTTTAGTCATTAATAGTGACGTAAAGCGAGTACTAATTTGTGGCATATTTTTGTATTTGTATTCATATACTGTATATTACTGTATAATACTATATATACTGTAATATATATGTTGTGCGCTATATATACATACATATGATATATGTTTTGTATAATACATTAGTTTAGAGATAAAAGAATTGACTGCAAAATGAATGCATAACTAAAACAATAATTAGTTTTGAATTTAGTGTTAAATCAAATAAAAGCCGACTTTTTATACTATAATTGTTTTGAAAGCAAAAAGAGTTAAATATTTGTTGAAATTTATGTCTAATTTATCGCAAAAGTATTAAAACGATTGACTAATAGTTGTGTTTTGTATTATATTTGAAGCGTTTGTCTCACATATTGTTTGAATAAAAGGTTGTGTTTTGTGATCTTCTCTGTACTTAACCATCGATTTGATCCAAATATTGTATTCAATTGAATAATGTCTTTATCGATGTCTTCATCGTCTTCGTCTTCATCGTCGCCATCATTAGGAGTGGGATCTAATAATGAGGTTATATTTGACTCTTTATGGTCATCGATAACAACCAACACAATGAGAGCAACTGATGGAAACAATGGTGATGTCCTCCAGACTATCAATTGTCTAACGAATACCATCGAAGCAAAACTGTTTGCAGTGAAGAATAATAATAATAATAACAATAAGATGAGTGCCTTTGACGACAATAATGATGTGATAAAAGCGTCTCAAGAAGTGTCCAAATTATATGCCATCCGCTGTGAATGTTATCTAACAATAGGTTTATATCAATTGGCTTTTGATGATGCAGTCCATGGATTATCTTTAGACCAGAAAAACGCTAATTTTTATCACCTAAAAGGTATTACTTTTATTATATTTTTATAAATCTACTATATTTTACTCATATGAATCAATTAATTTTAAACATAAGTTTAATGTTTAAGATATTTAATATCAATTATTTCTATGACTTAGTTTTCAATTTAATATTTAATTATTTATTTTAATGATTTAATTATAAATTGAAATGTTTTTAAATTGGTATCAAATGTCTTACAATAGTAATCAAACATTTGGTAAACATATGAGTGAATGCTCTAACCATTTGATGTATTGAATAGCATTGAATAGCAATTGCTTTAATTTACTGTAATATATATATATATCATATAAGTTTAAAATATAAAATTAGATATGAATTGTTTATTTATATAAGTATTTGTTTATAAATAGTGGTTTTGCGCCCATTATTTCATGTATTGATTGAATTTAACGTAAATGTAATGACAGAGACATAAGATATAGTGAATAGCAAACAGAAACCGTTACCAACTGAGACACTGACACTTAAACATTGGGTTTTAATGATTTATTATCACTTATTACACGATAACAGTATATTACTATTGTTTAATTTTATTTAAGTAAATTATTTCATATAAATATCGCTATTTTAATATTTAGTCAATTTATTTGTTTAAATGCTCACAAATTGTGTCAATATATATATAAATTACAAATACATATATGACATCTAAAATATATATTATAAAAAATAAGTAATGATTTAATTGTGACACTGAAATCGATATAAATATATAATATTTATGTGTTTTACGTATATATCTTAATATATTTATATAATATAAATAAATTGTTGATTATATTGTTTATTGTCTAACAGGTCGAGCATTGATAGGATTAAATCAAAAGAAGAGCTCTGAAGAAGCTTTTAAAATGGCGTTAGAATTACATAAAAATACTTCTGATTCTTGCGATGATTGGTTTAAAAATTATAAAATGAAGTCATTAAGTGATAATAAGACACCAAATGCTAATTATAAGGAAGACAACGACAGATCAGTTGACAATACTATTGATCAGATACTTAGCGCGAGTCTAACTTCAGGACAATTGTCAACACTTAGAGATAGCTATACTCGTAGTTATAATAGTAATGATAATGATATGAACCAATTACTAACACAAAGCATTGAATCACAATATTCAAACATTTTTGGATCAAATAATAGTAAAACAAGTATTGGTATAAAAAAAGATAACGACGCCCCACAATCGTTAGGTCTCAAACTAATCAATGATATTGATAACTGTTTGGGAAGTATTGGTGATTCAGATGAAGACAAGGACCAGAAATTTTTTGATAAAGAAAATGATAACATATTCAGTGCCACTAATTATAATACAAATTTTTCAAATATTGAAAATAGTTTTAATATGAATGAAAATAATATAAAAAGTAATACTTTCTGTGATATCAGAGATAATAGTGTTTTACTTTCACGAAGTATTTCGCCACAAATATCGCAAAATTTGTTTGGGATCTCTTCTGATATGCAAATCAATCAACATTTACAACAAAAGACAAATAGTTTTTCTATTGATCTCAATAAGGAAACATTGGGATCTCAAATCATACCCAAAGTTGTTAATAATAATAATAATAATAATAATAATAACAATAATAATAATAAAAGTAATAATTATAGTAATATTAAAACGTTTGCAAAGGTGGCTTCAGTTAATGCTAAAAAACCCATACAAACAGTCAAAATGGCATCAAAAGGACAACAAAATAATAATGAAATGAAAGATATACGACTGCAAAATGTTTTAGATTTAAATATTAAGACAAAAGTATCGGCGTTGGAGTCATTTGGAGGACCGACCAGTGCTAACACTGGCGACTGCTTAGAAAAAATTGAGAAAATGAGTCAATTGATGGTGATTTCAGAACCGACTAAACCAACAAATTTGATGGCATATAAAGGTCTTTGGGTGTGCAATATATCACCCGATGCCTCGTATATGACCCTAAAAAAGGTTTTTCGCAAATATGGAAATTTTACAGGAATTCAGACATTTGAACGAAAGGCGACCAACGGTTCAAATATAGTTTTTGTTCACTACGACAACAGCCAATCACCTATTGATGCCATCTCTGACTTATTTGGTAAATATCATAAAGAGATTTGTATCGATGAAAGTACACCATTGAAGCTGAGATATACACCGAGTATGGAACAGACAAAGAATGGAGAATTGCCATCAATGGAAAAAGCAAAAAGAATTGTCGAAAAAAGTGGTGAATGTTTCAATTGGCGGCTTTCAACCGGATGTCATCGCGGAGATCGATGTAATTATAAACACATCCCAATTAATAAGGCTATCGACTCTCAGCCATGGGTTTGTTAAACATTTTTGTTATTATTGTAATATTTATTATTAATTGTCATATTTTTCTTATATTTATCATTAGGTAAAGGCATTGAAAAAGAAGGCAAACGAGACTTAAAAAAATACATAAAATGTTTTACTTTTTTCAAAAATAAATATATAAATAAATAACTATTAAAAAAATCTTAGGAATAACTATTACAGTAATTTATATATTACAGTATGCAAAATATCTATAACATAATTGTATTATTTTAAATATTAAAAAATAGCAAAATAAGTACACTATTTTGTTTTTAAAAATTACAATTTTCTATTATTAAAGATTAACTAAAGTAATTATGAATATTAATATTTTAATTTTATTAAACTACGGTATTTATTCACAGAAAACAGACATAATTTGTTAAAAAACCTAAATAACATTTAAATTACTTTTCAGTAAAATAAAGCAAAAAAACAATAAATTAAATATATTTAAAATTTATACAGATAAAAATTAACTTACAAAATTTTAATTATTGTTATTTTCTATAAATTATAAATTGAATATACTGTATATTATCTATAAATAAAATACTTTTTACAAATTGATAATTTATTGTCTACAATAATGTAATTTTTTATATTACCGGTAATTTATCTAAATATAATACATCTACTGTAATGCTATTTTATTAACTAAATAATAATATAAAAATTGCGTCAAATAATTCGTGTGGTAATGTATTAATTTTGGTAAAATGCATAATAATTGAATCCATATTGAAGTAGTGATACCACACAAGATTTCTATCATATTTGTAATAATAATTTGCATTTGCGGTAAAACTTTACGAGTGATGTCATAGAAATTTGTATTTCATTTTTCTTACATTTCTCTCACTCATTCAATCACTAATTTAATGCTTTAAAACAATTAATAGATTAGTAAATGATTAAAATAGTAATTATTTATTTTATGACTTTTAAGTTATTATTAGCATTTATTGAGTAATTGTTCACAATATGTAAGACAAATGCATTGAAATATAACAAAATAACAATTAATATATCAATATTATTATATTTGATGATATGCTTTAAACAATTGCTGTGATTATGAGTCTGCAATTTTTATTAGATTTAGTTCACGCTTTCATTGAAATGATTGAAAATAATTGAACGAATACAGTATATAATGTAATATACAGTACAATGAAATTATTACATTTAATTCTATAAATATATATTAATATTCAGGCATTACTAATGTTAAATATAAATGAGTTGTTTTGCTGGATAACTGATTGGTAGTAAAGACGATACGATGTCATCATATCATGACATTTGAGTTTTATTGTTCATTAAATTTGAATATCAATAAAAAGACAATATTGAAGAAATCAAACTATTTTTGTATTACAGTATGTCTGATAAGAATATTGTTAAATAAGACATTTGTTGTAATCATGTCAAACATATATAATAATAGCATATTAAAAAATAATAACAACTAAATAACAAATTATTTTGATTTTTTTAATATAAATTTTAAATATATTTATATTTATTACTTTAATAATTATAGTGCTATGCATATTTATAAATTGAAAACTAAAAATTAGTCTCATTTTAATTGAATACACTTTTGTGATAATTATTTTTTTTGTTTTGAAAAACAAGTTGTTATATTTTGTTTTATAATTTAGACAATAAATTTATAGTCCATTAAAAATGCCAACGACTTTCATGTGGAGCGTAAGTAATTTACACATTTCTTACTTATTGTAATTTTATTTTATTTTTAATTTTAAATACTAGATAATTTTAAATTAACAATTATATTTTATATGTTTTAATAATAAAGATAGAAATGTTTATATTGCAGAAAAAATAAATTATTAATAATGTAATTATTACTTATACTTACACACAGAATATTTTTAACTTATATAAATTATTATAAATTTATATAAATAATATATTTATGATTTATGTTTCATATGATATTTAGATTCAAATAAAAGATTGTCGTAAAATATTTTTACTATTAATCGCTTATATTGTTTATTTGGTTTTCGGTGCTTTTGTTTTTCAATATTTTGAGGAACCGTTTGAACATTCGATGCGATTAAATGTTGGAAACATTACTGAAAACGTTGAAAGTATGTTAAGATTACATATGAATAACATTTACAGTATATATGAAAAATAATGACAATTAAGTAAAAATCTATTAAAATTTTCTAAAGATTCTCAATAAGTTTTTTCTATAAAGATTTTAATTTTGTTACTAATAAATTAAGAAATAAAACATAAAAAATATAATTTAATATATAAAATTCAAATATATAATTGCAATCAAAAATACTACAATTTTCAAGGTTTTTTGCAGATAATGCAAAAAATCAATTTTGTTAACTGTTTAACAACAATCATAAAAGATTTATTTATTAATAATTAAGTCAATATACATTGCTTTTCAAAATTAAAAGCAGTGTATATATAAGTATGTATTATTTTGAATAATAAAAATAATATAAAAATAAATTAAAAGTAGCTATATTTTAATTATAGCAATTAAAATAAATTTAATATATATTTATATAAAACTTTTATAATTCTCTTAAGTAATTAATATAACAGGATATCTAACTTATAAGTAATTTTTATTTATTTATACTTTATTACACACTTCATTACTCTTCAAATTTACCTTTTATTTATTGATTGAATTATAATTATTATAATATCATTTAATTTTATATAAAATTTATAATATAAATTATAATTAATTAAATTTTTTGGTGAGTTATTAAAATATTTAGTTTATAAACTTAATCAATCAAACAATTTACAATACTTTTGAACAAGATACTATTCAATTTACTCTATTATTATGTATTTAAAGTTTATTTAAAGTTTATATAATTTATGCATTATTGAATACAGTATATTAAATAATATCTGTTTATTCAACTAAATTAATTAAAAACATTTAATTTAATGACAAAACTGCAACTTTCAACTAATAAATCATCAAAAAATAAATTGAATCTCTTTGTTTTTTATTAATTTCATGTTTTCAGTTCACTTAATATCCATTTCTAATTAAATAATTTTTAAGCTTAAGTTTACATTTTAATTATTAGTTATGAAACAGGAAAACAAAAACATTTGATTTTATTTACTATATTTAAAACAAACTTCACATGAAATGATAAATAATATTGAAATTGATTTATAAAATTTAAAAATTATCATAAAAATGAGTCTTATTGCATAAAAATTATCAATTAATAAATTTATTTATAAGTTAGGGCTCTAAAAATCTAGTTGCAATTGTTTAATTAATATAATAATTAACACAATATTAAGAGTTTATAAATAATGGTTTTATAAATATTTTTAATTTCATTTTTGTTGTTAGTTTTGGGTAAAATGAGGTTATGTTAGGTTAGGTTAGATAAGGATGTTTAGGTTGGATGGGATAGGAGATTATAAAATAGACATAAAATACAATTGATAATAATATAAAAATAGCATTATTTAGAACATATTAGAATGATTACAATATTTGTTTTTTGTTTAACAATTTATGTGATTATTGAATGAAACCAATTATATTAATAAATTTAATAACAATACAAATTGATAATTAGTTTTAGATAATTTATGGAAATAATGTTCTTTACTTAAAATTAATTTCTTAAGATAAAAATAAATTAATGACTAAATTTGTATTCATATAATTTGATAATATATTTATAATTATTTATTATTTAAATGACAAATAGAAAAGTTATTGAATGGAAACATAAGTGTATCGGAATTTAAAGAAATATTACACAAGTATTTGTTAGCTCGTGATATAAATTTGGTCGACCAGTTCGGGGTCTTAACGAACCAGAACTGGAATTTTCATAATTCGTTTTTCTTCTGTACGACAGTCATCACAACCATAGGTTACGGCCATTTCCTTCCGTCAACAACAGCCGGCAAAATGTTTTGTCTATTTTATGCACTCTTTGGTATACCGATGACCGGTATATTGTTGGGCGCTATCGGACAACTGTTTAGTCGGTGTTTTATGATTAGGATTAAACAAATCAAAGAAAGATATAAAAATAGAAACGGTTTGAATGCAGCCATTGTATGGCGTTATTTGGAGACAGCCGTACTGTTTTTCATCCCCTGGTTTATAGTATTTTTAATCATACCGTCCCTCATATTTGTCGTAATAGAGCGCTGGTCTTTCCTCGAGAGCTTTTATTATTCATTTATCACTTTAACAACTATTGGTTTTGGCGACTATGTGGCCGGTATTTACTATTACTTTACTTACTTAATAATTATATGACAATGTTTTGTAAAAAATAAAAATATTATATATTCTAATAGAAAATAATTTTTTAAAAATGTTGTAAAACTTATATACAATTGGTTAGGCAATTATGACGGCCAAACATGGATTGTTATCTACAAATTGTTGGTTGTCTTGTGGATCATATTTGGTTTATCATATTTATCGATGACATTAAATTTTATTGGAAGAGGATATAAAAAGGTAGAACACAGCGAAATGATTCATTCATCTATTGCACACTTATCTGAACCATTTCTTCATCGGAAACCCAAAATAAGCGTCGAGTTTATGGAAGAGTCGGATAATGAGAGCATACAAATAGCTGCCGTTGCCGTCAAAAACCAGTTAACAGCCTCTGACCTTAACATATGCTCTCAACTTAGAGAACATCATAAACATCACAGTAATCATAATCATCACAACCATCACAACAAAACCAATGACAGTGTTTTGCCTTATATTATATAATAAATAGTAATAATTATAATTCTATTATAGATCTGATAAAACTATAATTAATTTAAAATAATTTTTTAAACAGTAAATAAAACTATATTTATATATTAAAGATCCACTACACATATACAATTGCATACAAAATTTTATAGTATATTTATATTCTAATAAATACAGTAAAAACAGTGTATTAATATTTAATAGTTCCTAAAATATATTAAAATTATTTCTATGTATAGTATTTTATACTGCATTTTAAAATAGATAAATAATTTTTAATAAATACATAGATATATAAATCTTTATATTATTATATAATAAGATATAAATATAGTTATTATTTAGTACTAATGTGAATGACATATTTCTAACTATTAAAAAATTATTAATTAATTTTTAATCTTTGTTAATTAAATAATGTGATGTTATCTTATCAATACATTTTATTGATGTTAAACTTTTAATAATTATAATAATTATAATATTTATTTTTAATTTTTATTTATTTCATAAAAATAATTTAATTTATATCTTAATTATTTATTATGTTGTTTCAACATATTAAAAAACAGCTATAATATTGCTAGTTTTTTTTACTAATTGTTTATTATCTTTAAATGTGAATTTATTAATAAATTAATTTTTTATTACATTTACTATAATATATATATTTATTATAATACTAAATAATACAGTATAATAGTACTAATAAAAAATATTTAGATACTATATAAATATTATAAATTGTTAAAATAAGTATTAGACATTAATTTTGTAGAACTACCAAATGTAATAATAATAATATTAGTGTTGATCTATAATTTATTTATTTATTATTAATGCGATAAGATTTTGGTCGCATAGACTACTGATTTATTTAATATTTTTCAACATATATTTGTTTAGTAAATATAATTTGTAACAAATTCTAAATGATTTATAATTATATATAATTTGAATACAATACATTAAAATATACTAAAATGATCAATAAAAAGTTTTATATAATATTCTGTTATATTATTGTAATTACAAATAGTGAGACATTACAGTTATATGAAGAAACAACTGTAGAAAATTTGATTGAAGAAATGGGAGGATTAGGTAATACATGCAATGAATCACAATTATGTAATACCAGTGCAAACTTGGTGTGTAATGATATTAGTTTATGTGAATGTGAATCCAATTACACGGATATTCAAATCAATAGAACCGGTGAATACAATTGCTATTCAAAAGGTAATATAAAAGCTAATGTCTCTATATATTTGATGATTTAATTAAATTAAATTACTTAATGAGACACTTGTCTATCATAAACAGTTAAATTTAATGAGAGCTGTATTCATGATAAGCAATGTCAGACATTGGATAGTAATACAATTTGCGGTCATTTTGATGTCACTGGCAATAGGTGTCTTTGTGCTCATAGCTATATATTTGATGGCTCCCAGTGCTATAAAAGTTGGTCCCAACGGTTACCAACCAAATGGACTAAATATCATATTATAATTGTTTTTATCATAATTATAATTTCAGTTGGGCTAATAAGTGGATTAATATATATACTGATTATACATCTAAATAAGCTAAAGTAAGTCAATATTTATTAATATTATATATATATATATATATATATATATTAATAAATATATTATAAACTAAAAAGCATTTAACATTCAAATTTTATAACAGGATTATCGATTCATTCAAATATCCCAATAGTTTATCACCAAAAGTGGTTGTCTCTCGATATTTCTCAAATCCTAATATCAATGATTCAGACGATGAAATTTATCTAAAACCTCATGATTTTAATATAAAACCTTTTAGACAATAAGTTTCATAAAAATTAATTAATTAAAATAAAAAATATATGAAATTAAAATAAATTGAAGCAAATTAGTATTAATAATATTGGTTACTAATATAAAATTGCATCATTATTGTAAAATTTAGAAAATTAATAAACATAATTTTTAAAAATAATAATTACTGACTTAACTATTGGTTAATAAAAAAATTAATTTTAATGCTAATCTCATTATGAGATATACTGTAATAATTTATTATAACTTATAATTATAATTATAAGATGTATTTTATAGGTAGTGTATAAATATATATAATTTATGTAACAATTATTACATAGATGTCAGGTTAGAGCAGTTAAAGTAAAATTAATACATAATGTAATCTAAAATTATTAAACTTAAGAAAATGTTGTATAATATGAAAGTGAAACCATTGATTCAATTCAATTGCTATTATTTTCACGTAAATGTCATTAATTTTAACCTATCTTTAGATTAATGTCAAAATCATTTAAAAATAATATATTTTAGATTAACGAATAACATTTCAAATGAAAATAAATCCAATGACCAATTCAGTGGTCAAACTAATAAATTATTGTCAAACAAATATACTGTATATTTGATGCAAACATTAATACAATATGCACTTAAAAAACAGTATTATGCAGACAAACGTATTGTCGGTCAAACAAAACATCTTATAGTGTTATCAGTGCTGACCAGCAAACAGGAGCTAACAAAATACCAGTGCTGTTACTGTTGACAGTCTATAAAATTGATGCGTTGGCTAAAAGACCTGCTGTTCCGGCGCTTACTACCAGTCTTTATGACTCTCTTTCTCTTTCTCTCTCTCTCTCTCTCTCTCTCTCTCTCTCTCTCTCTCTCTCTCTCTCTCTCTCTCTCTCTCTCTCTCTCATCCATTCATTCATCAGTCAGTTTGACTGTTCATATATTTATGGATTGATTTTCTCTCAACCACTCAATTCATAAGCATTTCACATATTTATATTAAAGTTTATTATATTGTCAATTGGGTTGATTGATAATCAATATATGTAATGAATTTTGATTAATTTGACTTATTATACTACAATAGTTTATTTTTCAGTCAAATATAATCAAATTTTAGATATTATATTTTTAAAAATTAATAAACTTATAAAAACATTATATAATATACTGTATATATTCTTTGCTTTAATTAGTAAGCATTGCTTATTATTAGTAAAAATATTATTATAAAATAATTTAAATGTTCGTATAATTAATATCAATTAAAATAATAAATATATAATAAAAAATTTAATAAACAACAGTTTTATGATCTGAGATGAGTTATCAACAAAAGTTTTGTCACAAATGAGATGTTTTTTTTGTTATAAATTTGTGTTAAACCTCTTATGAAAAATACAACATCTCTTGTAGAGTATGTAAAACCATTGGAAAATTAAACGAAGAAGAGATCAGAATTGCAAATGGGATGCCATTTAACAGTATAACCAGTGATACCACAGTTAATACTACCAGTGCTGGTGTGCTATATATACTATGACTACTAACTGACAGAAACTCAACTCACCTCTGGTTCGGAAGCAAAGGCAACACAAAAAATAAAGTCATTAATCATTTGATGAAAGAAATTAACTTTTCTTTAGATGTTATAATACCCGACAATAACACCGTTTGGTTTGCATAGAGAAACAAATTAAACGCTTCTTTTGGTGTTTTGTTTTATTATACACATTAAGTACAACATATTATATATACACAAAACCACTACTCAATTATAATTATATAGCTGTTTGTGAGTTTGCAGAGTAAACTAATTTTGTTTGTTTTTTGCGTTTAAAATTTTGTTTAAATTATTATTATTATTTTTATAACGAAAACACTGAATATCCTTAATATGAATTAAACAAAATATTTTTTTATTAAATAAAAAGTAAATAAAGATATTTCAGTTTTATTTAATCAAATGATTTTTTTTAAATTCTTAATTTCTAATAATATGGTTATAAAATTATAAAATTATTTGTTTAAATATTTCTATAAAATTATTGTTTTTCTATAATATTTTATGTGTTATAAATTACTATAAATAATTAATTTACATAAATTATTAGATATGCTTAATATTATATTATTGTTATATTAATGTTAATTATTTTATTGAGGCAATATTTGAATTGTACTGTATTATACAGTTTAATAGTTATTTATACATTATTTCATTATTATTAATAACATAAAATACAATATGTATTACGAAACGGTAATTATAGATATAATAAAATAATTAAAATAATTAACCATATAATTTTAAATTATTTTATATATTGTGTTTTGTCTTAAAAACAAAAGCAATGTTATATTTTATTTGAATACATAGAATATGATTGATATATGAAAATTATAATGAAACCAATATTTTAAAAGAAAAACTAATTTATTTTAATAATAAACAACTTAATTGACAACAATTTATTTAAACTCTATAAATAAAATATGATTTAATTAATTTTTATATAATGGGTTTATTATATTTAACCGTTTGCTATACTTTTATCTTTTGTATAATTTATAATATAAATGTAAATAATTTTTGCATATATTTTCATTAATTTTTGCATATATTTTCATTAATTTTTATTTACATATATGTTAGTTCATTTCATATATCTTAGACACCTTTTAAAATAAAAACATTAATAATTATAGCAATTTTTTTTATTAAATATACAGATATTTTGACTGAACATTATTGTAATAAACAGTGATCTACTAGTCTATTTGGTAAATTAATAATATAAAACTAATTTTAAATGTATTAACTTTTGGGTAAATATTATATAATCTGAAAGGTATTACATTAAAAACAATAATACAATTATATATGAAATAAATTAGTTTCGAGAAATTTTTCGCTTCAATAATACAAATGTGAGTTCAGTTAAGTTCAGCTTAAAGTCATTTGTGTCTAATTATTGCCAAAAACTATACTAACAAATGAAGAGTCGCTTAATAATGTTTGTGATGTCTGTAAATCAGTTTAAATCCAATGATAATACTTTTGATACACTGATCTCTTTATCTCTTTAATCAAATCAAAACCTATTTTTTGTTTTTTCACAAATTAGTTACAAAACACATATATTACTAAATAATTAAATAAATAAAGAGAGAGATATTATT